TATATAGGGGATTATAGGAATTAGGGTTTCCCAAAATTAGGGGTACCATTTTGGGGGTCCCAATAATAAGGACTGTAGTATTTTGGGGTCTATATTGGGGTTCCCTTATTTGGGGAAACTACCATATTGCTAAGCAGACCACCGCCAGCCTTCTCTCACAGGAGCAGGCGCTGCAGTGTCCTTCAATGCCTATTGCATCAGCCTCAAGGGGTTGGTAGGGGATGCCAGGAGAACCTCTCGTGGCATCTGAAGGCCATTCCAAACCATTCGCCGCGGCAGCGGCCAACAAGAGTCAGGATCTCGGATCTGGCCGGGCGTTCAGGCTACTTCGTGGGCATGAGCCCACGTGAAGCTGAATTGGCCCAGGACATGCGAACCTCAATTGAGTCATATTGCCATTGTTGTTGGTGTTGCCCCATGTCTGACCTCAGGCAGTGGCCAAACTAATTTGTGCAAGTCCAGCTCTGTCATAGCCTCAGGAACGTTGCTTCACAGCATGGTGTGCCAGCATATGCATATGTGTTGTGGAGCTAGCCATGTCTGACAACGTACAGCTTGCTCTTGCTCTCAGCCTGCAAAGACCTGTAAGTCAGATGGCCGATCTTGCCTCGAAATCTACTATAATAATATGGGAATTATAGGGATTATATAGGGTTTATATGGGAATTATAGGGAATATATAGGGTTGATCCTGGAGGCAGGGAGGACCTGAAGAGTCCTTGGCTGTGCAGGTCGGGGCCTGGGGCTAGATGAGGTCAGGCCTTTCAGGTGAGGGGAATTTGGCCATGTAGGTCAACACCGTGAATCCAACGAACCTGACTCCCAGGAGGTGCTCAACTGAACTGCTGTGTTTTTTACTCAGTATTTCTGGTCCTGAGCTTGTTTGCAACTCAGGCGAGATGGTCCTAGCAGAGCACCACAAATCCGGGACAAGGCCTTGAGATCCGGGTGCGCTTGACGAGTCGGCAAGGCATCCAGGTGTGCCGTTGCCGCGTCAGGAGAGAGAGAAGTATCCATCAGGCCTGGATGCACAGGTTTGATTTTGCTCCCCTTTCCACCTGGGCGTGTGCTTGCGCAAGCTCAAAGCGCCAAGCTGCTCTCATTCGATGCACCTTGCCCCATCCTTGAAGCAAGGCAAGATCATGCGGCCCGTACGCAAGGCCAATGCTGATAGCTGGCAGAAGCTTGAGCCTTAGTTACATGCATGTCTCAATTTACTGGCCAGAATGGGATGCTGAACGTCTTTGCTCAGGTTGACGGAGGTTCTGGAAAGCCCAGGGAGGATCGATGCGGTGCGCCTTGCCGGGATGCTTCTTACACTCTCCCACGGATATCTTGCAGCCCCTGCGCAGAAAGAGTCGCATCCTTCAAGATCGTTCAACGTGGTTCCGAAGACGAACCTGAGGGTAGTCTAGGGATGTCTAGGAGGCGGGCCTGCAAACAGCAGCGCTTCCCAAGATTCTCAAATTTCTATGCAGCATGGGCAGGTCAGAAGTAAGTCGAAGACCAGTGTTTATGAGTGTCTTTGCCGTGCAAGCTGCTTAGGTATGCTGTGACTCTGGAGCGGGATAGGGCTTTGACACCTGAAACTGCTACGGTTTTGGCAGCCCGCAAACCAGACCATCACATGCGCTGGCACTCTCAAACATGGCTAAAGGCCTAGGCTTGTGCCGGCATGTACCGGCCCGCTACTGACCTGTAATTCGTTGAGCACAGTGCTCAGCACAAGCCTATGAGAGAAGGCGCAGCCATTGTGTACACGTTTGACCCATACCAAAGCACGGATGGGCGGGACACGTCTGACGAGCACTCTAGCCTGCTGAAATGCTAAATTTGCAGATGCCACGCGGCGTAGCGCTTGGATGTCCAGCTGTCTGCCCTGCAGCTTTGCGCTCCCAAGTCCGGGCAAGTTTTGATTTGTACAGAGACTCCCTTTTGGACATGATGCCGCCAAGCTCTGACATGGAAGAGCTGTTGGAGGCCCCGGAGCGCAGGCACAAATCCTTCTCCGGCCGCATTGCGATGGTTTCGGCCACGGTTTTGGCCTTGGTGAGTCTGTCAGCCGTGGTGCTGCTGTCCCAGAAAGGTTCTACTGGCCTCCGCGGCAAGATTGGTGGCTTCCTTGGCCTGGATGAGACCATGGACGAGACCTGCTTTGAGAAGGGCATGTTCTATGCCGACCCGCACAAGATGGATGGCACGGAGAGGACTGTAGAAAGTTCGGTTGAAGCCTGCCAGCAGCGCTGCGGCGACACGCCTGGCTGCGCCCACTTCACCTATTGGCCAGATGGCGGTTGCTTGATCACTGACGACTCCTCTATGGCAAAGGCCGCTCCGTACAAGTATTCTGAGACTGTATCAGGCCCGGCCTTCTGCTCACAGTCACCGTCTGAAATTTCGTCTGAAGCGCAAGGAGTCGTTGAATCAGCTGATGCTGATGCCAAGAGTGTCGAGAGTCTTGTTGCCCCAGCTCCGGGCGTGAATGGCACGTTTTGTGCAGCGTACCCGGCTTGTGTGGCTGTGGGGATCAGCGAGGGCAGCTGCTGCCCAAATGATGACAAGGTCGCGCTGGGCTGCTGCAGTGGCTTTCCGCCGAAAGTGCCGGAGGTCAAGATTGCAGCGGGAACCGAATGTAGTGCTTTTCCTGCATGTGCCCGAATGAACATGACCGGTGCATGCTGTCCTGCAGCAGATGGCATACGGCTATCATGCTGCGATGTAATTATGTCTGTGTAGGAGCATGAGCAAATGCTGCAACGCCAGCGTTTCACCGCCAAAGCGTGTCTCCTTTTGTCCGAAAGAGTGCATGTGGCGGGCTGTAGCTGCTCTTCTTCAGGTTGATGTGAAGAACTGATGTCGCCTTGCTCCTGCTGGTGCTGCTGGGCTGGGACTTGCAGGAGTTGATGGGTAGTTTGAATTACGGGCCTTGGGTAGCTCTTGCTTGCTATGGTTGATGTGGTCCCCGAGACACGTGGGCTCCTTCATGCGCGGCAGGTCCATGAGCAGACGGGATCCTTCTCGCGATACGTAGCCTTTTTTGTCGGAGGAGTTGGCCTTGTGACCATTGCATTGCTCTTGAGTAGTGGCACCCGTGGCTTCCGGAACTCCAGTGAGATTCTGGGCCTTGATGAGACCGGTTGCTTCCTGCCCGGGATGTTCTATGCGAGTCCGCACAAAATGGATGGCACGACGCAAACGGTGGAATCTAGTAGTCAAGCTTGTCAGATGCGTTGCCGAGGGGTGTCTGGCTGTGTTCACTTCACCTTTTGGCCAGATGGCGGTTGCCTGCTCACGGATTCTTCCTCTACGCTGCAGGCTGCTCCTTACCAGTATTCCGAGACAGTAACTGGCCCAAAGAGCTGTACATGGGGGATCCAGGATGGAAAGCAAAGTCAACCATCGTCTGAACATGGCCCGATCGGCTCTGTGGAGGCTCTTATTGCCGCTGTTGCCCCTGCTCCGGGCGCGAATGGAACTGTGTGTTCAGCGTATCCGGCTTGTGTGGCCGTGGGGATCAGCGAGGGCAACTGCTGCCCAAATGATGACAAGGTCGCGCTGGGCTGCTGCAGTGGCTTTCCGCCGAAAGTGCTGGAGGTCAAGATTGCAGCGGGAACCGAATGTAGTGCTTTTCCTGCATGTGCCAGGATCAACATGACCGGTGCGTGCTGTCCTGCTGCAGATGGCACCCGACTATCATGCTGCGACAAGATTACATCTGTGTAGAAGCATAAGAGATGCTGCGCTACTGGGAGCAGCATTCTTGTGTTACCGTTTGAAACCAAGCAGGGCTCCACCAATGTGTGGTAGTTGACGTAATCTGAGAGCGTGCGCCGCAGCAACTATTCTTAAAAAGAGCGTTTGCGCAAGCAAAGCTTCATGTGACTTGGCGGTGGCACGCAGTGTCGGGAGATGAATTGCAGGAAGTTCATTCAGTTTTGGGGATCAAGCTGCACAAGCCAGCAAACATAGAACCGTTTGCAAGGAATTCTCCCTGAGCGTCGAGCATGGGGTTAGCTCCACCAGGCTCTGACATGGAAGAGCTCCTGGAGACTCCCGAGCGCAGCCGCATGTCCTTCTCCGCGCGTGTGGCGATGGTATTGGCCGGAGTGGGTCTAGCAGCCCTGGCCCTGCTGTCCCTAAGAGGCTCCACTGGCCTTCGCAGCAAGATGAGCGGTTTCCCCAGTTTAGATGAGACTTGCTTGGAGAAGGGGATGTTCTATGCTAACCCCCACAAGATGGATCTCACGGAGAGGACTGTAGAAAGTTCGCCCTCAGCTTGCCAGCAGCGATGCCGCGACATAATGAGCTGCACCCACTTCACCTATTGGCCAGATGGTGGTTGCTTGGTAACTGATGACTCCTCGGTCGCAAAGGCTGCCCCATATCAGTACTCCGACGTCGTTTCGGGCCCATCTTACTGCGGAGGACGGCCACAGGCAGCTGTTGGTTCAGATGTTTTCTCAGGCAGCGAGACTCCTGACGTCGTGGCCCCTCCTCCGGGCGTGAATGGCACCACTTGCGCCGCATATCCTGCTTGTGTGGCCGTGGGGATCAGCCAGGGTAACTGTTGTCCCAATGATGACAAGGTCGCCCTGGGCTGCTGCAAGGGTTTTCAGCTTCCGATGGCCAAAGCCATACCGATCACCATTGGAGCTGAGTGTACTCTCTTTCCTGGCTGCGCCAATGTCACGGGTGCTTGCTGCCCCGCGGCTGATGGCACTCGACTTGCATGCTGTGACACCCCCTTGATCTGAGCCTGAGAGCCGAAGCGCTGTTATGCTTGGAATGTCTTCGTAGTCTAAGAGTGTGGTGCGTCTCGTACATTCGCCAGGAAAAGCAAAATCAATGGTGCCTGCTATCATGCCGCAAATGGCACTGTCTATCACTATCATGCTGCAACGGGATGACATCTGTATAGGAACAATAAACAGGTGACAGTGCTGTTGTTGTGCAACCCTTTCAGTGGTGGTTTTCATGACCTCCTTGTATGTATGCGTATGTGTTGTTCCAAAGCAATGCGTGGCATGTCCGAAGATGGAACTGCGCGAAATTTGGGCGCTTTTTGGATCAAGCTGCACAAGTCGGCGGAGGAATAGTATTTTGAAGAGTTCTTCCTGAGTCGTCAGGCATGGTGTTAGCCTCGTCAGGTTCTGACGTGGAAGAGCTCCTGGAAAACCCCGAACGCAGCCGCAGCCGCATGCCCTTCTCCACGCGGATCGCGTTGGCATTGGCCGGGGTGGGTTTAGTGGCTACGGCCTTGTTGTTGTTGTTGCAGAGAAATCAAGCAAGCTCGACTGGCCTTCGCAGCAGGATGCATGTTTTCCTTGGCCTGGATGAGACTTGCATCAAGAAGGGGATGTTCTATTCCGACCCACACAAGATGGACGGCACGTCGAGGACTGTGGAAACTTCAATTGAGGCTTGCCAACAGCGATGCGGCAACACAGCTGGCTGTGCCCACTTCACCTATTGGCCAGACGGCGGTTGCATGGTAACCGATGCCTCCTCCATGGCGCGGGCCGCGCCGTATCAGTACTCCGACATTGTCTCTGGACCTCCTTGGTGTGGAGGACGTCCAGGCGTAGACGGCATCCTTTTTGGTGCAGAAGCTGCTGTTGGTTCAGACATTTACTCAGGCAGCAAGACTCGTGAAGTCATGGCTCCTCCTCCGGGCGTGAATGGCACCACTTGCTCCGCGTATCCTGCTTGTGTGCATGTAGGGATCAGCCAGGGCAATTGCTGTCCCAATGATGACAAGGTTACCCTGGGCTGCTGTAAAGGTTTTCAGCCTCCAATGGTCAAAGCTTTACCGATCACACTTGGAGCTGAGTGTACTCTGTTTCCTGGCTGTGCCAATGTCACGGGTAGTTGCTGCCCCGCGGCTGATGGCACTCGACTTGCATGCTGTGACGCACCCTTGATGCCCTTAATCTGAGCATTATCAATTATCAGCAGCTCGGATCTGAGCCTGAGGATGGCCGCATTGGAAGTGTCTTTGCAAACGTCTTGGACATCAGATGCACCAAAAAGTGCAATTTTGACAGGCTCCATGCAAAGGTTTCGTGTACACCTCATCATGGTAGCCATGGGTTGGCATGTGCTGTGACGACAGCTTGACTTTGGTTCCAAGCTCTCCCGGCTGCCTACGTTGTTGTGCCGACGCGGAGCCGTCTTTGGCAATGGAGGTCCTTGGAGGGCAGTAGCTTACAGGCCTGATTCAGCTGACCAAGTTTTTGGACTTCTCTGGCTGGAGGTTGCCCTGCTAGTTGCCGGTGCCTCTGTCACCGGAGCTTTCTTTGGCATGCTGGCTGGACGCGGTCTCAGGCATGGCACGGCCACCATGGCCACCATGGTGTCTATGTCATCTTCTGGAGCCTTGTGTCTTTGCAGGCGCGATCAGCTTCCCGGTCCAGTCAGGATACCCAGCACTCCTCAGGACATCTGGACGTTGGTTATTTAGACTGAGTTTGGGTGAGGTGTTTCCTACAGAGAAAAGCAGGCTTGGGCAGGGTACCCCCTAATGAAAACTGATGCAGAGGGATTTTAGATGGCACCTAAGCACTTTGCTCCGGACTACACATTCGAAATCTGTCTTGAGCTTTTGGCAAACTACCTCAGGCACAAGAAGCCTTGGTGCCGTTCGTGGGAGAGCGCCCAGCGAAGGTGGAATTTTAAGTAAGAGAGGAGCTTAAAGCAGCTTGCTGGTTGATGTAAGCAGACCTGTTAAAGGCGCGGCGGCTCAGCGAAGCTTCGGAGGCTCAGCGACGCTTCCGCGCTTTTCTCCAGTGCAGACTAAGAAGGAAGGTGAGCATTCCTAATTGGTCAGGTTTCTCTGGAGTTGCGCCGCGTGCTTCTCGAGGAGCAGCAGGCTAGATCTGCAGGAGAACTCTGTTTACTTTAGGAGCCTTGGCCATGCCACAGCCCTCTTCTAAGGGCTGCAACCTGTGTCACTGCTAATTATCCTGCAGGCAATGATGCAGCAGCTTGCACAGGAGATGCTCACACTCAGACAGGACCCTCGCAGAGGATGGCTGATTACTTGCATGCCCCCGGGAGCACTGACTACAGAAAGTCTAAGATACACGCTCGCACCTGATACTGGTGCTGGGTGGACTGGGCCTTGAGGATTTGCAGCTCTGCCGTTGTGCGCAGTCGCAAAGCTGCAAGCAACTTCGCAGCCAGCAGTTGAGTGCAAAGCAGGTTTGGTGCCTTGAGCATTTGACTCCACTGGAGTTTCGGTCATTCGCAGGTCCAAGAGCACATCAACATGCTCTCACTTCTGGGAACCAGGCAGCTCAGCCGCCAGCAACGCAGAGCCCAGAATATGCAGAACTGAAGTACGCAGGCTTGGCATGGATGCATCTCTGCAGAGACCTCAGCACGACATAGATTCGTGCCTTGGCACTTGGTGCGGTGACGCATTCTCCACCGATGTTGCAATTTTCAAGGAGAAGTAAGCTGTAAGCAGCATACTTGAGGATTGCTGCACTTCCAGCTGCAGCGGACGGCATCAGGCTGGTAAGCGCGAGACGCAGCTCGGGGCGTTGATGTGCAGTATAGATTTCGCAACTCAGAGAAATTACAGGTGCGGATCCCCCGCATCTGTTCGCGCCGCTGGCTTGGAGAAGCTATGCTTGTAAGGTATTGCGCACATTTTCTGACCAAGAGCTGCGCTGGCAACCTGAGCCATGGTCCGTGCTGCTGGAAGTTCCACTTTATCTCAGCTGGAGTTTTAGCCCTAGGTTTGGTTGCAAGAAGAGCATTCTGAACACCGTCAATTATTCGCCTTTAGTGCAACCTGAGCCTGCAGCCAACCTCTCAAGCAAACACACTTTGAGCCAAACATCTCGACGTACTGTTCGCTTCTTCCGACCGTGGATAGTCATGGCGCCTGTGGGAAGCTACAATGACAAGACATTTGCCGAGGTTCCGAAGAAGGACCTGTTAGGATCAATACAAGTACTCAGCTTCTGTTTGACATTTTCATGTCAGGTTATGAGCTGAGAGATCTGAGAGTCTGTTTTTGCTGGTGGAGTCTCCTCGTCCGGCAGGACACAAAACCAGGAGTCGGATTCATTCTGTGCTTGTGGGCATTCTTCATCCTGTCCCTGGGCAGTTTTTAGAAATGCATATGCCTTCGTAAGCTTGCCGGTTGCCCTACGGTGGATGCTTGCCGTGCGCGTGGCCCCCGGCTGCAAGTGCTCAGGAATCGGGCACTGCATCCGCTGGTTATTGACCTTTCCAAGGCTACCGAGGGAGCGATTGTAGGAGTGAGTACGAGAAGTCCTGCCACAGGTTGCCAGCAATCTAGGGTCCTTTGTCTCCATCTGAGGATTATAGTGGAGTATGCACGGGAACTAGGGGCCTTGGATCAGATGGGTAGACTCGGCTAGACACATCTTCGGAGAACAGGAGGTGTGTGGTGGAGAAGTTGCATGTGAACGTGTGCGTTGCAGGTGCCTATTGTGCCTATTGATGACACGCAGGCCCCGAGTAACTTGAGGGTTGCCATGCAGACTGGCCTGTGGCATGTGAGATGATGTCAGGCCGAATATCCAATAGGCAAGGCGCCACGCCTGCCAGTTGGCATGTAGCAAGCAGCTCAAGTCCCATCAAACAGACTACAGACCTATAGTCCTTCTATGTAGATAAAATATGGGGTATGTGGGGATCCTATTATAATATACCCGAAGCCATATTCTATCTACTTAAGGGGGCTATAACTTTCAGCATCATTCTGTAAGCTGCCTTGGAGGCACTCGTGTTTGCCTTCGTGGGACAGGCAAGTGGTACAAGCCCTTTGTCAGCTTAGGGTTTAGGGGTTTTAGGGTTTAGGGTTTAGGGTTCACCTCCCCAAACTGCCGTGATGGGCCATGCTCTTCTCTCACTCGGATAGCAAGGCCCTGGAACCACTTCTATGCCGATGTCGTTGACATTACTGAGGACTCGACGAAGGCCAGCACCTCATGGCTAATAGAACTAGCAAGGGTCATCCCTAAAACATACCCCAGACCCCAAAGCCTTAGCCTGACCACAAACCGGTGCCCACTCGGTTTATAGACGTGATTCGAAGGACGAAGCTCATAAACACGCAAGGGGTGTTGTGAGTCTTTTCTTGCATATTATGTTTTTGAAGTTACATGTTTGACAGCAGCATCAAAGACTTGGGACTTTAGTTAGACATGCGTGGAAACAGAGCACAAACACAAAAGACGTGCAAGCTGTGGAGACGACACGCATGCCAGTTGAAAAATGGTAAATCCAATAGCGGCAGTAAACACAGACTTGAACTCCGAAGTGATGAAGACAACTGCACGAGTATGACTTATACGCAATGGGAAGAATATCTGTTGCAATTGCGAATGACAACAGTTCGAGACGAGAAATAGTACAGCATAGCCAGACAACCCGTTCAATTACATATATGTTCTAAAGTGTATATCCGGGCCTATCAGTCGTTTGGGCTGGGCTGCATGGGTGCGGACCCCGGGGGCGGTAAAACAACGGCTTCGGGCCCGATGAGCATCCCCCACCCTCCCCAGACAGCACACGCACACATATGTAAAAACATTAATCAAACATGCAGCGTTGGACCGAAAAGAGCACGCAGACATTGTGATCACGGCGTTCGAGCGGCCCCGACAATTTTGTTCACATGATCCCTTTGATCCCTGGCCTAGACTCGTACACAGCACCTTCCGCCAGCATCGCAAGACTGAAGAGGGACGGCAAGTGCATTGCTATCAACTCCCTGGAGTTAAAGCTACAGTAGCGCGGTTGCGTTTGGTTGCATCATTGCTGCAGTCGTGATATGTTACCTGCAAGTTGCAGACAGTCGGAACTAAAAACCAGACATTGTGCCGCTCCATCATGTTCCTCGTCTGAGATGGGGAGCAATTGATTAATGAAGAGTGCCAGTGCCATCCTTGTTGGTTGTAGCAAGTTGCCTTTCGGCAACGTTGCTGGCTGCATACTGGAGGGTGCCTTGGAGTATCTGGTTTGGAGTTCTTGCCTTGGGTTTGTTAGACAACGAGATGAGGTCCTCTAGGGAGGGGGGCGTTCTGACTGATTCTGTGCCGGGTTCACCTGTCCGATTTTTTCGTGCTCGGCCTCAAATCCGAGGGTAAGGGCCAGCCACAGGTATTGAGATTCCGCAGAAGATGGGACAACGCTTGACCACGTAGTGCCTGACTCAATTGCAGTGCAAGCACGGCGCTGGAATGTTGTGCTCCCGCTGCACTTGACACACAAATTTTGGCCCTTGGCGCCGGAGGGCTACTCAAACTGCACTTGGCCGAGCATCCCCAGTCGTATGTTGTCGAATGGAGATGGTGGCAAAGCCGAATATGGCTGGCATTTCGATCTCCGTTCAAGGGTCCCAACATCGACTTGGATACCGGTAGGTGTGTGGTCTCCTTCCTATTGCATTGCTTGCTCCTTTGAGTTCCCTCCACTTGGACCATTGATGTCGTGCACTGGCTATGCTTGCTACAACCAAACCCCAATGTATACCCTATTATAACCCTAATAGACATCCCACTATAGTAGTTTCCATTTTCTTTTCCATTAACCCGATATAACCCCAATATATCCCCTATATAGACCCTATATAACCCATTTTGGTAGTTTCCATTTTCTTTTCCATGATCCCAATATAACCCCAATGTATACCCTATTATAACCCTAATATTATATCGCTTGTTGACACTGGACCTTGGTTGGGTGTGCTAGCTACATTTATATAACCCTATTTTACTATAGTAGTTTCCATTTTCTTTTCCATTATCCCAATATAACCCCAATATAACCCTACCAATATCCCAATATTACCCTAATATTCATTGGTTGTTGGGGTTGTTCGGATCTCCCTGGGTTAGCTTTTTGGAGCTCCGAGCACTTGGCCTGCTGATCTCGTCTGTTCGCTATGCTTGCTTCATTGCTTGTTGTGATGATGCTAGGCCCTGCTTGGTTGTGCTTGCTACGTTGGTTGTGCGGGTCATTCGGCCATTTGGCGTTGAGATTCTGAGTTCCCGATGTGCTTGCACTGGTCCGTAGATTGTTTACGCTGGCTATATTGTTGGCGTGAGGTTTCATGTCGACGGTCCGTGTTGCCCTCAGCGCTGGAGCGCTGCTCCCTCTGCGCCTGGCGCATGGTGACCGACTTCAGCTTACGCATGCCCTCTGTGCTTGGAGAAAGTCTCCCTCAGCACTGGCTGCGAATGCTGACTCTCCTTTGGTGTTTGGGACTGCCCTGTTGCTTGCGAGCATGAACAATCCGGTTTCCATGCACACAAACGTCAATTGGTTACCCGGATGCTCATAGACAGGTGAAGTACATAGATGGCGGATACAAGCGCTTCAGCAACATGGACTGCATTGGATTCAATGACGTAATTGCCAAGATTCAAGTCCGAAGATTCAAAATGCTGCAACCTGCCAGATCTGAGGCAAGAGGCAGTTCAAGAAGTTGATAATCCGAGTGCCCAAGGCCAGTCAGGCTTCTGCAGCATTGTAACAGACTGTACAAAGTCACCAAAATCTTTGCAGGCAAAAGAGGGCGAGTACGAGGTTTGACTCTACTTCCTGAAGTGGGTAGCCTTACGGTCTTGGCCTAACCAAGGTAGGGATGAGGGTGCTGCTTCACGGCATTGGCAAGTGGGCAGAAGGACTGACTTGCCTGTTCAGTAATTGAGTGCATATGAGCTATAGTCTAAACTCCTTGAAGGGGTTATATAGGGGAGGTACTAGGAGTTTAGACTACAGCTCATATGAGCAATATTCGGCTTGCTGCTGCTGTTCTCTCCACGTGCCACGCCTCAGGGCAGAAGTTCCACGCAGACATCATGGACGTTTCCCGTGGAAGTGTGAAGGTGCGCTTCACTGACGGTGGCTTGTCTTCATAACAGTGTAGCCGTGCTTACTGCGCCTGTCAGCGAGAAGTGTGCTCAGGTTCTTTCAAGCGGTACACCACAGACGAGTTCAAGACAGCGCTGTCCAACTCTGCGGCTGACAAGGAGCGCTTTGAAGCAGTTTCTTTTTGTTGGCAAGTTAAGCTGTGAACACACAGGCCCAGGTAGCCAAAGAGCTGCCTTATAGGCCAGAGCTGTCTTTGCTCCCTTGGCATCCTGCGTGGGCAGCCGCTGACAGGAAGATGACACCAGTCATCGCAAAGTCATTCATCTGCATTTTCATCTTCAACCTCCTGTCTCTTCGTGACCCCAGGCAATTGGCATTGAAATGGAAAGGAAACTGAAACTATTATATTGTAGGGATAATATAGGGATTATATAGGGATAATGGAAGAGAAAATGGAAGCTACTACATGATAGGGATAATAATATTATCCCTCTAATGTAGTAGCTTCCATTTTCTTTTCCATTACACCTATATAACCCCTATGTTATCCCTATAGGGGTTAGCCAGCATGTTGAACGCAAGAACATCTCCTTGCAGGGGATGGAAGGTGGGTCTCGTCAGCTGCTACACGGGTCCATCCATGAAGCGGCTTGGCTTCGGGCAGGTAATTCCAGGCTTGTTTTTCGTTTTTCCATTTGGCATCCTAAATACTATACAACCCCAATAGAGTAGTTTCCATCTCATTTTCCATTTTCTTTCCCATTTGATTTTCCATTATTAAGGGTAATCATTGTTTTGTCAACCTCAATGAGTGAATGGAACATCGGCTTGAAAGCTGAGGATCTTCTCCTACATCGGCCTCCTGTCCGCAGCCGCTAAAGTCAGGAGACACAATGGCTGTGTCCTTTCTGGCGCGAGGTACGCCGTTGGAGATTGGTTGGAGATGAAATCAATGGGCTCTATGGACGGAGCTGCTTACCAGGCCGGCCAAATAGGCGGTTTTGCTTGCATAAAGTGCAATGTGCAGATCTGCCAGCCGCGCCAGGTTCTCCTTCAGTCAAAGCTGATTATCACAGCGCTGATTCTTTGGGCAATCAAAGGCGCGCAAGCCTGTTACATGTTTTGACCTTCCGCTGCCCTGACGTGAAGGTGACAAGGCAAGGCAGTCAAAAACGCAGTGGTCCACACTGACGACGCTGACGATTGGTGCGCTCAAGCATGCCCACCTAAAACCAACACTTCCTGAATGGATCAGACGCTTGGTTTTCCTGTGCAAGCTTGATCCAACAAAGCGGAAGGCATGATCATCTTCATGGTTGCGGAATCGAGCTCATCAGCAGGCAGGCTTGCCACATCCTAGAAGTAACAAGGGCTGTTTCCAGGGTTGGCCCCAGTCTATCACGTTGCCAGACATGCGGAAAGATTTGTGCGGCTTGTCAGGCGGCCCCAAGAAGAGTCAATCTGGTGGTTTTCTTGGAACGTTCTTCGTGTTGATGAAGGCCCACCAGGGAGAGCAAGGCAAACAACAGAATCTCATCGAGAATTCTGGTCCAGACCTGCTTTGCAGGTCCTCATCTCCTGTTATGGAGCAGTTGTTACTGACAAGGAGTTGAAGCAGTACAAGGACGTTGGCTAGCCGAGTCTAATGGCATGCATTTCTGAAAACCAAGTGGACCTGCTTCTGCTGCTGTATGACCGGCTCCGCGCGTTGGGCAGAAGGCTATTTCCATTAAAAAGTTCAGTGCATTTGGTTGAGCATGTTGAGCTGAAGACACACGAATTTTCAAACTTTTCTTTTTAAGACTGGCAGTGTGTCCTTTTCGGCTGTGAGAGCCACATTTTGCTCTGGGGCAGCGAGGACTTGCCACTGTATGTTCTGATCTCAGCTTTCACAGACCTGCATAGTTCTTGAGGCCATGCTCTGGCCAATATTCAATGGGTATATTATTATCATTTCCTATATGTTATATTATTATATGTTATAGGAAAATATAGAATATTATAGTAATATATATATATATATATGTATCTTGTTTTACTATAACCACATATATATATATAGATAGTTATTACAGTAGCAAGTATCAAGGCACCAGCAGCGCTCGCTTTGAAGCCATTTTTGCTCTGCCTTGGAGAGGCTGCAGCACGTTTCTACTTCGCAGTTCAATGTACATCCCTTTCCTAGCTTCACGCTGCCCGTATACATATTCTGTATCATAGGGCCACCTAGACTACAGGCAGCCTTTGGCTTTGGGTGTGATCCTGCGATACTGCAGTGTGCATTTCCAGCGCAGCCTCGGCAGAGCCCTTCCGGGAAGCCATGGAGACGGTCTACCGTGACGACATCAAGTGTCTGGGTTACTATATTGTTTCTCCCTATAATGGAGAATCAAATGGAAAAGAAAATGGAACATGAAATGGAAAGCGTACTAGGGAAACCATATTAATTACTGTATATACCCAGTATGGCAACTCAATTTAAGTTCCTCAACAGCAACCCAGGTGTTTGGACGAGACCGTGCAAATTTTGGCTGATGCCAGCCTTTATTCGACACTTGATGGAGAGACCTTGCTGAAGCCTCCGGGCTTAAGCAAGACTGATGCCACCGTCACTTGGCTGAGAGGGCACAGTCTTGCTTCATCAGTAATACCAACATGGATCACTGATTGTGCTGCATGCTGATGTCTATTAAGTGCTGCGGCCAACATGGGTCTCTTCTAGGGTTTCAAGCATGGAGCTGTATGGGGATGCTGGTGGGCCTGCAGTACCCATGCAACAACACCAGGCGCACTTCAAGGTTTAGCAGTAGAAATCTAGCTTGGTGTTCTCCACACGTGCTTTCAAGAAAAAACCAGCGGTGGGCTACTACAAAAAGCGTTTGCAGAGCAACCAGGGGAGAGGTAATTGCCGACCTGAACTGCTTCCAGGCGGTTATCCCTGTGTTATGCCGGTATGGGTTCCAAGGAAGTGATGTATGATGAAGGAACTGCAGTGGGGTTCATGATTTACTGAAGGTTTTGGGTTCTGTGCATGCTGTTTCAATTGGCTGTTGATTTGCTAGTGTCCATGTTCTCGCAGTGATACAGTGATCCTCTGCAGTGTGAACTTTCAACACTGAGGTAACAATCTTTGATTGGGACGATACGCTGCCCGGTGCAGAAAGGATTGAACCTAATTACCATGCTTCCAGCATTGAAGAGACCAGTTCGGCCAGTCTTTTTGCCAAGTTCATGCGTCCATGCGTGCCAGCCAGCCAGATTTTCCAAGGATTCTCTGCACCAGTCTTTTGACCACCCTTGGCTTTCCTGAAGAAGTTCCCTCTACTTTCAAGATGACAATGCAAGAGATTGCAGCATGGCTGCAAACTTACATAGTTGCGGCTGCCTCCTGACTCCCATACACCAGACGCCCAACTTTCTGGAGGAAGACCGAGCTCACCGACTGATTTCCGAAGCTTTGGAACTGGGGCCAACATACATTGCATCTTGGACTAGTAAATCGAAGCCCCATGCGCGTGCAAGCTTGGCAGCTCAATTCTGCCATCTCAAACTTGCATGTTCTTGCTTGAATTGGCATGATATGAAGATTGACACGCAGAGCATGTCAGCCAGTGCGGGCCACGACCTCACAACCAGAGGTGACAAATGCGGTCAGTGGTTGGGTGCAAGACAGTGCAGCCCAACACCTGCCGGGCTTGCTGCCGCTGCTGAGCAGAGTCACAGTCCTCAAGCTGCACCAAGCCGCTGGACGAACGCGCGTCCATTGATTTCCCTAGTGTGCGCGGAAGCCATTGCGGGTGTTGTGTGGGCATGCCCTCCTGATGCATCCCAAGGTCATTTCCGCCCGCGGTGCCTACGGCTACTTGCTACTTGCCTGGACATGGGCTTTGAAAGTAGACTTGTAGCCTTGCTTGTCAGCATTAAGGCCTCCAGCAAAATGTCAATGGCTAGTTGCCATGAGCTTGACACACTGAGGGGGGAAAGCTCCAAACATCTGAGGACAGAGTTGTCATGCCGAATAAGAAAGCAAGCAACAGCAACATTCTAAGCTCGCTGCGTAGACCGTGCAATTTAAATAATTTGCTGGATGCCGGCCTGGCTGCAAAATGCTGTCTGCGATTTAGTTCTTGAAGCTCTGCATTGCGCAAAACATGTCTGTGAGTCCAGCATCTCGAGACTTTCAAGTATCCAGCTTGCAGGCTGTTGCAGAAAGCATGTTTTTCTCCCAAAGTGGGTTTCTGATGTTGCTTCTAATTTTCGACCCCATTTTCCAGATGTAGGCACACACATTGAACATGTGACCGAGGTGTCGGCCACCCACAGCACTTTTTCTGGTTGAACTTGATCTTAACAATCAAAGCCTGTTTTGTCTTGACTGATTTTGATGTCTGAGTCTGCAGCTTTCCTGCTTCAGACAGAATCCTGCATGAAAAAAGTAGTAAAGCAGTCAAAGCACCGAAAAAAAGCATCGGACAATGGAGCAGAAGTGAAAAAAGAATCGGAAATTCGCAATGGCAAATCAATTGTAGAGTTGAGCCCTAAACCCAAAACCCAAAACCCTAAACCCTGCAGTGGCGCCAAAGCGCCCAGCCCGAAGGCGCGCACGGCCTTGACAAAAACCCTAAACCCTAAAACCCTAAAACCATCAACCCAAAAAACCCTTAAACCCTTAAATTGTGTCCCGATTTCCCCAAGCTGGCCAGGGCCTGAAGTTCTCTGACACCTGGGTGCTTCCCAAAACTAGGGTCCCATTTTGGTACCCCTGATTATTAGGCGGCCGTAATACAATCTATAACCAACAGGGGCCCATAATTTTGAGAATAACCCATCTCATTCTTACCGGCAAGGTGTTGCCTCTGATCACTTTCCTGTTTCCAAGGTACCCTGATCAGCCGGGCCACTGTTCCGCAATATGAGCCGTTGCCTAAACTCCTTTAAGGGAGTTGTAAAGGGGATACTAGGAGTTTAGACTGTAGCTCATATATACCGTCATTTGGTTGAGAGCCTTTGCTCCTGTACTGTGTACTGCAGCCCGGGGAAGCTTCAAGAATCCATTCTGTACTACTCATGTACTGATACATCCAATCCTGTTTGCTCATGTTCAGGACTCTGGAAGACCTGTACCTTTTACAACCTCGTCCGAGACACCGACTTTCACCAGCTTCCTTAGCTGCATCAAGCGCAACTGAGCGTGACCGAATGATGTCTGAGACAGAGAAGCAGAAAGCAAGGAGAAGATGACGACTGACTGCTTCATGTGAGCTATAGTCTAAACTCCTTAAAGGGGGTTTTTTAGGGGATAATACCGGGGAGTATTATAGGGGTTTAGTAAGAGGAATTTCCGGAGTTTAGATTACGGCTCATGTCCTTAGCTAGCCTCTCGATCAGCAATGTTGCCTGCAGGTTTCATGACTTGATTGTGATTGGGGACAGCTTTTACGAGATGGTGGCTGGACTTTGACAGTGGTAATAGAAACAGTAATAATAGCCATAAACCTAATAGCAATAACAACAATAGTAAGAATGATAACAGTAATAAACAATAACAACAATTGTACTAATAACAATCGCAAAAAATGACAACAGTAATAAAGATAGTTGGTGCAAAGCCATGACGGCCTGAAGGGGTAGATTACCCAAATAATGGAGAATCAATGGAAGATAGCATGGAAAATGAAATGGAAACTGGGGGAATAATTCGGGTTATAGAGGGGTAGTACTGGGACAATGGAAAAGAACATGGAAACTACAGGGATTATGGGATATGTATAGGTCTTATATACAGGGATAATATGTATATATATATATATATAGGTGTATATATATACACACATATATAGTATACATATGTATATAGAGGCTACCTATGGTTAGCTCGGAATCCGTCAGAAGAAACATGGCAGTAGGCCATAAGTTAGCCGGTCCAGGTCGTACAATTCAAAGTGGCAATACTTGCATTCCCTTAATAGTAGTTTCCATTTTCCATTATCCCTATAGAACCCCTATATTACCCTAAATAGTAGTTTCCATTTTCTTTTCCATTCCAACATGTCGCGCTTTGCTGGCAAGATAGGCTGCATACAGTGAGCCGCTTATTGTTCCGATGATAATAATACACCCTACCTCCTTTTATACCCTATTATAATATAGTAGTTTCCATTTTGTTTTCCATTATCCCCATATAACCCCAATATAACAGCAGTCAAAGGTGGCTGGACAGCTGTTGCGCGACATGTTCCCTGACACACTGCGTGTCAAGCTCATCAAGCTCAAGGACCAAGTAATATTAGCAATGACAGTAATAGTAGAAATACTAGTGATAATAGTAATCATAGAAATCACAGCAAGAAAATAAATACTAATAATGGAACAGAAAGATGGAAACTATTATATACGGTGCCGTCGGGCGGCCACCTGTCTGTGGGAAAAAAGTCATAGCACAAGGTACCAGACCTCCTGCTTCCCCTAAACCCCTAAACCCTAAAGCCCTAAACCCCGCAAGGAGAGCCCGTCGCCTGAAGTCCTTTCACAACAGCTTGGCGCCATGCTCTTGTGTGCGCTGCCCAGGTTCTCCTAGAGGCTAAGGCTATAGTCCCCCTTAAGTAGATAGAAAAAGGTTTTGGGTATATTATAATAAGACCCCATATACCCCATATTCTACTTACTTAAGGGGGACTATAACCCCAATATATACCCTATTATAATATGGTAGTTTCCATTTTCTTTTCCATTATCTTTATATAACCCCCATAACCCCTATATAAGGGGGACTAAAAGGCTAAGGGTTGCAGCAGTAGTGTCAGTGGCCGGATCAAGGCTACAAGCAGGTGGCCAGCAATTCAACCAACATCTACTGGAGGCAGGACTCGAGTGGCATGCGCTGGGGAAACTGCCTCAATATAGATACTGATGTGATCAGGCTGGATGAAAGTTCCGACTTGGAGCTTAAGCTATAGAATTTTCTCGCTCACACAGCCCGCAAGTGCCGTGGATGTATATGGGGCTACGCAAATGGGAGCCGCCGATAAGGCCACAGCTTTCAGCCTTTGTTCTAAGGATTTGCTTGGGGAGTGCTAGCACAAGCTAGCCGGGCGTGTGTACAGCTGGCTGCTCAGTCACAGCGTTATCATGTCCTGAGACATCTTGAGACACAGCAGGCATGCCTCTTAGATCTGGGCTTGACGATGCATTGACGCTGCTGCTTGTGGAGTCTTTTGTTTGGGTTTGTTTTGGCTTCGCATGACATGAGCTATAGTCTAAACTCCTTAAAGGGGTTAAATAGGGGATTGTATAGGGGGCTACTATAGGGGTTATTAAGGGGGATACTAGGAGTTTAGACAATGGTTCACATGAGAGCATGATGACTAAGGTCTGCTCAGGTTGCTTCAACGGACGTCCTTTCTGGCCTGTCTGGGCTTGCCCAGTTGCCTGCAGGAGAAGTAGCTAAGTAGTTATGGTCTTGGCAACCAACCATCTGTGGATTGGTCCGCTGATGTCAACTATCAGAAGTCACAGAAGTCAGAGATTTCAGAGAGGTTTTGTAGCTAGGCGGGACCTGACAAAACGTCTGAAAGCAGCCTGTTCTCAAAGTCAGGTGTTTGCGGAACCCGGTGGAAGGCAAATTGGCACTTTTGAACATAAACCATTCTTCTCGGCTGCCAGCCGTTTGTGTTTTGTTGCCTGCACAGGTTTGATTTGAGCCATGATGCCCAACAGGCGCAACATGCCACCGGGTTCTGTGAAGGTCTTGCTTGGATGGATCGAATGAGGAGGTTTTGCCTAAGAAGCGCTTGCCTCCATAGTAGTTTTGGCCACAATCCAAAGTCATCTACGAATACCTAGTCCAACGTTATGAGAACTTGCGGGCCCGCGGGGCCCTACTGTTCCATGTTTTTGGTGAGCTATTTGAGATCCTTTTGCGGTTCGTGAGTGGTAATCTCATGCAGCAACCTTGAGTGAGACAAGCCTACACAGGAGCAACGGGAGCATTAGGGTTGTTCAAGCAACAGAAATTGCAAACCTCAGCTATGTTGCTCCTTGCGGCACTCCCTGAGCTGCCGGAGTGTTTGTCGAACACCTCTCGCATGAACTCTTTTCCGCGAGTCTTGTTGCAGTACGCACCGCAAAACAACTTGGCCGAAGCGTAGCGTGCATCCATCCATAGCCGAAGCATGCCCGGCTGGTTGGCGTTGAGGGGACCAAGTCCCGGTAGTTGCATCCTCATCAAAAAGAGGCCCAGGGGTAGCATGTAGAGATGACAGTCAAAGTGTTGCAGCCAGAAGACCCGGAAGACGAAGAATCATGAAGTTGGGATTTCAACTGCCTTTTTTCCCATTGCCAGAGGATTCTTTGTGATGTCTTTGGCAGTACGTCTTCCGCATGGGCTCTGCCAGACTTCTGCATTTGACTGAAACTCCAAGCACAGTAAAGTTGTTGCCCGCATGGCCAGGCCCGCATTTTAGAGGGATGCCCCTACAGGGCAGTTTTGGTGTGGGCTTTTGCCTGTTGCTGCCCAGCAGCACAATTTGTAACGTAGAAATCGCCTAGGGCTCCAGAGCAATCGGAGGCTTTAGGGCTTTTTGTAGGTCGTGTTTGGCAGCTCTTTTCGCGTGACACCCAGTCTGATGATGACTGGGCCGTCCTCACTAATGCTGCCAACCGGCTGCACGGGTTGTCATCTTCATGAGCGCATTCCGAGTCGCGTGAGTTCGACTTGAATCCTGTCCTACGAGCAGGCAGTCTTGCGGCCTGCCCAGGTGCTCCACTTCTTGAGATTGGACCGGTGTTCCACCATCAGACCACTCCACGACTACCTGGTGTGTTTTTTGAGGTGTCGAGATACCCGAAAGTTCCTACCTGAGCCAAGCTTAAGGGACCGTGCAAGGTGAATTTGTTTGCCTTGACACCTTCTGGCAGCAGAGTGTGAGTCCACGAGCTGCATCCCCTACCGTACAAGTAGTTGGAGTAATTTGAAGACAAGTTCCTTGGTAAGCTACTTGTGCTGGGGAGGAGAGGGCTTTGCCACGCCTTTTCCAAAGTGTCTCCGTTTTCCGTACAGCACCAGCGCGTGCCATTGCTTGTTCCTTGATGCCGGCAACTGCTACGACTTTCAAGCCAGCGGTGGGAGGCTGCGCCGTCAACCCTTTTATGCAACGCGGTGTCAAAGCACAAAGCCTAGGACATCTGCCGTTTTCGTGTTGGGAGAAAGTTTAGGATAGCAGGGCCGTGCTAGTTCCGCCTCACAAAGCAGCCTGCCCAGCATGTAGTAGTTAAGACCCAATTATCAGCACCTTGCGTCAAAACCTCAAACCAAGGTTCAGCAGCAGGTTGAAAGAGGCATTCTTGCGCAACGCTTCCTCGCTTGCAGCAGTTGTCGAGTGAGACCACGACTGTGAGAGGAGCAGAACGGTCGAATGGCCTTCTGTTCCAGAGAGCAGGCCTGGCTCCTTTTCTTTGACTCGAGCGCATGGAAATCCATGCGTAGAATATAGGCTACAAAAGGAGGCTACATCATCTTAAACAGATGAGCCCCAATTGTCTGTCGACTGTCGAGCTTGCATGATTTGAACATGGCTGGCAGCGCCCGCATTCCCTCTGGAAGAGCTGGGTTCCCGTCAGCCAATCTTCTTGACAAGCATCTTTTGATGCCAGCTTGGGCTTACACATTTGAAGAGCTGTGGGAGCTCACCTGGACGGCAATGAATAGTTGCACAGATATGCTCTTTGCAAGTTGAATTTTTATGTACACGCGCAGAGCTGCCCAGAACGGCGGGGAGCATTGTGGAAATCATGCGCCCTGTGGAAGGCCTAGAAATTTAGCTGAGAATCCAGGAGACAAAGCCGAGCACATGCTGGAGAGTCATGCTGCCGTTTTGGAGGGCCTGCGTTGGCATGGCATAAAGATAGTTTTTTGTGGGGACCATTGCTTCATTCTGAAATTGCATGAAAAGATGGAGCTGGTCAAGGGCAGCCGCAAGGTTGTCCGGTCGCACAGGAAATCTGCAGCCTCACCTGTAAGGGCAGTGGGAGGTTGGGAAACGTCTAAGTGTAGGAGTATGGGAGGGCGTTGACATGCGTTGACGTCATCTCCGGAGCAGCACCAGCACTGCTTCACATCGAGGCTAGGTCTGCAACGACAGACCTTACTTGGGTCCTCAAAGGTCGTCAGAACAGGTCAGTGCATCTGCGTGACGACGCTATAGTATATCCAATGAAGGGGAGGTCCCTGCCGTGTTTGTCAAGCCATCAATTGATGCAAGAAAGGCTCGTCAGCAGAGGTCCACTCAAGAACTGCGATCAATGGAAGGCTTGACACAAAGGCTGCACCTCAGCCCATGCAGCATGTGCGATGAGCGGGGTCTGAACAGCTGGAGCTATCTACACACGCGTCCTTGGGTGACAGTTGGACCCCATCTCTATGGCACTTTTTCTTTTTGCTATTTCCGCCTGAGCTCAACTCTGAGATCGGCGCTTTCGTCTGCAGCGTCTCGCTGAAAACATCCCATCCTAGAGGAAAGAAAGCGACGAAGAAGAAAAGATTCCCAGACAAGCGTGCCTGGAAGCGGGATAGCGAGATAGAAGCTGTCGCTTTGGAGCACTCTACAGCTGCCTCCGCTGCCGAGGTGCAGTTGAACCAGATGTTCTTCTCCTGGGGCAAAATGCTCAGCAAGTAGTAACAATAGAAATGATAACAACAGGACTAATAATAACAGTATCAAAGAATAGTATGAATACTAGGAGTAATCATAATAATAGTGATACTACTAATAATAAACTGATGCATTAGGAGGACCCCCCCCAGCCTGTAATAGTGGTATAATAAGAATATAAGAGGACCCTAATATAGTCCTTATTATCACTTATAGTCAGTATTACTGGGTGGGGGGTCCACCTAACCTATACCCTAAACCCTAAACAGTAGCTTCCATTTTCTTTTCCATTATCCCTATATTTCCCTATATAATCCCTATAACTCCAAAAACTAATAATGTACTGATGCATGCCATCCATGGTCCTTCCTACCTGTCACCTCGAGGTGTTTTCTCCTTGATCTTGGCGGCTATGTTTGAGCCGAAGGCCGATTGGCTATCTGGGAATAAGGGAATGTAGTGGGGTTATCTAGGGATAGTGGAGAAGAACATGGAAACTATAGGGGTTATTTGGATTATATAGGGATTATATAGGGGTCATATTGGGGGTTAACAAGGGATGATGGAAAAGAAAATGGAAACTACTGCTGTACAATTGGGTATATCTCCAGAGTAAGAGGGCCTGTGCTGCCAGTGAGGCCTGACCTTCTTCGGGTAAAAGAGTGTTGGGTAATAATAGTAGTAATAGAATATCAGCACTAATAACAGTAATGATCATAGTAGTAGTAGTAGTAGCAGTAGTAGTAGTAGTGGTGGTAGTAGTAGTAGTAGTAGCAGCAGCAGCAGCAGCGGCAGCGGCAGCGGCAGCGGCAGCGGCAGCAGTAGCAGTAGCAGTAGCAGTAGCAGTAGCAGTAGCAGTAGCAGTAGCAGTAGCAGTAGCAGTAGCAGCAAGAGTAGTAGTAGTGGTAGCAGCAGCAGCAGCAGGTTTTATTTGTACCTTACTCCTATCAATACTAACACTATTGATATCATTATCAAAAATGTTATGTCTTTCATTTCTTTGCCTCATGCCTTTGAGAGAAGGGAGTGCCATCAACAAGAGGGAGAACCATAAGAAGCAGTGGAAGGAAGGAAAACGTCCTGACCTGCTCCAAGACCCAATGGCCTCCCAAAACCTGCACTTGTAATACGTGAGCCACGAACCTCCAGCTTATTCTCCTGCATTGCTGCTGTTGCCTCACTCCGTTAGTATTTTTTTTCTTGTGTTCACTGGCTGTGGTTCATGCTATCCTGCTTCCTACTTGTCGTTAATTTCCTGCATTGCTTCCGATGAGCTCCCCTTCCTTTCATTTGTTGTCCGTGTCGCCGTTGCAGTTCAAGTTTTTCCCGCTTGCGATGCTCTCTTTCCCTTGTATCTTCCATCCCCTGTTGCACTTTGATTGTTTGTTTGCTTCTTTCAGTGTGACACGCCAAGCCAGCAGCAAGTAATTAGCATCAGCATAATCCAGCAGCTTCATGGTATAGTACATGTTCATCAGTGATTGCCATCCGGCAGGTTCTGGTCTCTTCCTCTGCATTCTTCCACGGATGGAATTCAGCGACATGGCTGGCCGCCAGTTTGCACGCAGCAGCGGTCGGTTGAGCGGATAGCTCGTGAATCATAGTTCCTTCCCGATGCACAGTTTGGGGAGAGTGAAGCGGAGAAGGATTGTGGCATTATGGTGTGCAGCTACGCGGTCTGCAGGAAACAAGTCAGAAAGCAATGGCTTTGGCAGACTAACCACCTTGCCATCTCAGAAATTACGTGCATTGGGGCAATCCAATTGAGAATGGAGAGATTGCAGACGTTGCCAAGTAATTGGACATGCAGAGTTCGCTCACAGTTCTTCGTGGACAGCTAGACTCAGGTTGTTCTGTCTTTCTCGGTGAAGACTGTGCTAACCATGACGCTCCTCAAGGCGCTGTTCGTGTAACATCGCCGAGTATGCTGCTGAAGCCTTCCAGACGGAATCTGAGATACCTGCACAAGCAGGTTCTGGACTCCATCATGAAGACCATTGGTGAAGCAGTTGCAGTTCTTGCTGCAAGCTCAGACATCCATACAGCGGTGTGCATCAAACGATCACCATCCTGCAGGTTATCTACGCTTTTCAAGTGTTTTTGCCTTTCTTTGGCAAGGAGTTCGAGGCCGTCTCACATTGTACTAACCTGAAAGTTTTCACAGCAAATGATGCACATCCTGACTTCGACAGCTTGCCACGCTGACCTAGGACATGCTTGAATAATTCTGTTTGTCCGAGTACAGTTACCCCCACGCAAAGTCAACACCAACTATGACAGTACGGTTATCTGAGTTCTGTTATTATGTCTAGGTGCTTTGCAAAGTTGCTTCTTGTATTGAGTGATGCTCTGCAGATCCAAACCTTCCTGGCTATGCTAGCAGTCGTCATGACAGTGCTGCACTCGGCGAAGAGAATCAGTGTGAGCTGGCTAGTCGTCTGCGTGATGTGTGCTGGTGTTGGTGTATCAGGCTTCACAGCAATAGTGAGTGTGGGGGAGTAATAGTGCAATTGGGGGAGGTACAATGCACGCATATCATCTAGGGTAGTCTAGAGTATTTTGCCTACCCGTTGACGTTGACTTGATGCCTGTAAGTAGCCGGCTATCTGAATCATCAGGCATGTGCAATTACTTTTACCGGGAGTGCCCGGGCGAGTAGTATTGTATTTGGGGATACTATGGTACCCAATATAGAGTAAGATTATATCCTCCTTTTGGGGTATAGTATTTTATATGAGGGATGTTATCTTACTAGGTTCAACCACCCAAAAAACACTACTCAGGTGACCACGTACATGTTCCTGAAGGCACGCTGCCTGAGCCACGACCAATGGCTTTCTGGTTGGTTGCTAGTGGGAAATGGAGGAAAGGCTGCCTTTAGTTGGGGGTATTATATAGGGGTATTATAGGGGTATTATGATAGGAGTACTATAGGGATTACATAGGGTTTAGGGTTTGGGGGTTTCCCAAAATTAGGAGTACTCTTTGAGGGCCCCAATAATAAGGACTATAGTATTTTGGGCTATATTGGGGCCCCTGTATGCAGGGAAACTACCATATAGCCCCGCGTACTATGGTAGTTTCCATTTCTTTTCCATGCCCTAGACCCTAAGACCCTTACACCTCCCTGTCCCTAGAATCCTTTTACGGGATCTGCGGGCCAATCGCAGTTTTCATTTTCGTTTCCATTCCTTCACCCCTTACTGACAAACAGCAAGATGACGCTACGTACGGTGAATACTAAGAATCAGCATGACCCTAAGTACCTTATAACTTGGGAATTATGGTAATTACTATAGTATAGTAAGGTCATGCCGGATTTTTTCGTATCTACAGTATCACTGTAAAGTCAGTTTCCATATTATTGTCCATTTGCTTTTCCATTTGATTCTCTAGAGTTCCTGTATATGGTAGTTTCCCTAAATAAGGGTACCCCAAGATAGTCCCCAAAACGTTATAACCCTTATTATTGGGACCCCTAAAATGGTACCCCTAATTTTGGGAAACTACCATATATTCTCTACGAAGCACCAGCAAGTCGTGTGGCCATGGCGAGGAAGACAAGCCCAAGGAGTCGGAGCCGGCCAAGGACCTGGGTACCTTACATGGATGGAAAGGTGACAGTAATTATATTACTTGGTAACTATTAAGGCTTCTGGTTTAGGATTCAGGGTTTAGGGTTAAGGCATTGAAGGAATTATTTGGGACCTTGTTTTCTGATTGGGAATGTGCATGCGGCTTTTCATCTTGCTTTGCATCTGCCTCTGTCTTCCTCTGCACGTTGGCGTGTGCCCCGAGTCTTATTGCCTTATGGTCTTTATAGATTATTCTTCCGTTGCCGCGATTTGTTGAATGAGGCAGTTGCTCACATTGAGACCAGCCAAGTGCTATGGCCAGGCTAAGAGCGAAGTCTGAAGCGCTGAAGGTTTTGGAGCCCAACCCGACAGTGTTTCACAAGTTGGCGTGCCAATGCCTTCGAACCCAGTAGATTTCGTCAGCTTGAAGCACGTGCGAGGGCGACAACATTACCATGTGACAGCGATGCATCAGAGACCAACCTGCTGCAATTCATGGCCAGAAGCAGTGCTTAGCTGCGCCTCCATTACAAAAAATAAAGTTTCGTACAGAGCAGGGCCGCCAGACAGCCAGCGGTATTCATTTGTTTCCTGAAGACGCTTGCTCGTCTGGCACTTCGAGCCAATCCACAAGATTTTCAAGTTTCCAGCATTATCCTTGCGCGAGCAGGGTTAGGTACAGTGGAAAATGCCAGCTGCGGCAGCTGCGGTTGCTTACGCAGTGAGAGGTTGCTCAAGTCCAGCCTCCATCAAGCACGGCAATATACCATGATATACCATAATGTTCTATAATATACCATAGTTTACGATAGCTGCTGAGGTCCTTGAGGTCTTTGAGCGTAGCCTTCAGACCCACGAGCTCTCGCTACAACGAAGGCAGCGGAAGATTCAGATACTCTGAAAGCTCTACTGCCGATGTAGCAGGTTTGAAGATGGCAAGAAGTAAGCAAGAATGAAAGTTGCCAAAGCTACCCTCTGCAAAGTGGAGAATTCTCGGCTGCCAGGCTTGCCGTTCTCGAGCAACAAGGCAGCTATGCTTCAAATTGGCTTTCCAGCTCTGTGGGTGAGTACACTTTGCTGATTTCTGTTTCACTAATGGCATAGTCAGACTGCGCACACGTGCGATGAACCGCTTCAGGTGAGCATTGTGAGTCCTAGGACGCAGCACGAATCATGAGCCGTTAGCCTTTAAGCAATGGCGTGAGCGGTACCGGAGGCATCGTACTCCCACAGCTAGCTGTGTACTACGCCAAAAGACGTGAGACATGTGAGTTCTTGAGCTTGGCTTGGGCTTCTTCGCAAAGCGACCCCCTGTGAAGCTGCAATGCACTTCAGCATGTAGACACTGGGCCAAGTTGAAGAGGGCGTAGAACATCCCCGAAAACGGTCACGTAGTGGTCTCGCCCTTCCTTCTGTGGGTGTGCGTGGATGGAAGGCTCTGGAAATCAAACACGAATGGCATTTCTAAATCTATATGGTATGGCGATGACATGTAGACCTGTACGTTAACTTATACGGATTTACCAAGATTATTACATAGGCGGGTCTGTACATAATTCAAGTATCACTCATAGGGAGTAGTTTCTTCGGTATTTGGGAGGCTTTGAGAAGGGAATGAAAGCTCTTCGCAGGAAATTGGAGACATTCATTCGCAAAATCGACAACAGTCACAAGGATCCTGCCCCGAACTGCCCCACCAACCTCGTGGCGGTTGGCAATGTTGTGGTTTTGTAGATAGGATGATGACAGTGGCGAAGATGGCGCTTTCTAGTCCCCCCAGCCCCCCCCTAGCCCTGTGGTTCTGCGCGCTTTTCAGATCCCTAAACCCAAAACCCTAAATGCTAGCTTCCATTTTCTTTTTCCATATCCCAATGTATCCCCAATATATCCCCAATATATCCTTTATATCCCCTCCCCCCAAGAAGGTTTGAACACGAAGGCGCCGATGAAGATTCTGCGGTCACTTAGCCACCCCTCAGACCGTACTATGGTAATCGTTGGGGTAATATTGGGGTTATCTTGGGATTATATTGGGATTATATTGGGGTTATATTGGGGTTATATTGGGGCTATATTGGATAATACAATGGAAACGTTTAGGGTTTAAGGAAAATTGCTACACTGGTCTGCCATGTCTGCCGCGGTTCAGTTTTGATTGGGAACACCTGCCAGGGCTTCCTGGAGCTCCGTGTCTCAAGGCTGGCTAGCGTCAACGTGAAGTAGGCAGAGTTTTGACGTCTTTCTACCAACGGTTCCTGCAGTGCTTCCCTTGCACCCGTCAAAAGTTTCACAGTTCGCCGCTTTGCGTATCCTTGCCCATGAGAGCTTTCCACATGAACGACTTTTCCAGAATATGCTCAGCTCTTTCTGACATACTGGTGCGCAAATTTGGTGATCAGCGAGACGCCTGCATCATTTTGGTGAAGCTTTACGTGGTAGCAGGCGCTGTCAGGGCCAGAAATGGATAGCTCTTTGGTGCTGCGGCGTGGGCGCCCCAGCTTGGCTACCTTGTTCCCCTTTGTCTCGCGACCTAAGAATGACTGGCTCGGGGGAGGACTGTGATTGAATGAGCGTGCTCCTTGGGCATATACTTGTGCCGAAAGATCAACGATGAGCTGCATGTTGCCTAAGCATGAGCAAAACGGGGCGGCTGGTCGGGGCTGGTTGGGGAATTGTCCTAGAAACGCAGCAGAAGTGAACCGCTCAGAGGTTAGGAAGGTCACCGCTCCAATTCCCAACATGCCATGGGTGAGAACTCGCACAGAACTTTGACTTTGGGACCGTCCAGGCTTGCAACGTATTGTTTATGCAATTCTCGCAGCCCTGCAGTTGCCTGCGGAATTCCAGAACAGGCTTCATGCACGCAGATGTTCTGTTTGTCACTGCAAGACTCTTCATCAGCTTGCTGACTTGGCTCCTTACCTGTGCGCTCGCTGGCGGAAGTCATCATCGGTCCAGAGTCCAGAACGCAATGAACTTTTGGACTGTCGCAAGGTCACAGACTTAGGCCTGTCTTGCCAAATGCCGCGGGTGTGCTGCCTGAGGCGATCTATCTGAAGCTTCCGCACACGTCTCAGCATGAGCCATCTCTGACTCTGCAGCCCATGCTGCCATGGCATTCACTGCATTTGGTGTATTATCTTATTGTAGTTTCCATTTTCTTTTCCATTATCCCAATATTACCCCAATATACTATTGTAGTTTCCATGGAATTTTCCATTATCCCAATATATTCCCTATTATACCCCTAGTATATACCCTATTGTAGTACTTTCCATTGTATTTATTTCCATTATCCCAATATAATCCTAGTATAACCCTAAACCCTAAACCCAATATAACCCCAATAGACTATGCGACCCCTCATATACTATATAGCCCCTATATAACCCCACTATCGGGTTGTGTTGGCCGTCCTAAGGATCTTGTTGCAGACCTGCCAGACTGCCCCACGCTTGTCTTGACGCAGGCCAGGGAGGTTGACTGGACATTAGGAGCTGGGCTATATAGGGATTATATTGGGAGAATGGAAAATAGAATTGAAACTACCATAATAGGGCATATTTTAGGATTAGAATAGGCTATATATTCGGGTAAGATTGGGATAATGGAAAATAGAATGGAAATTAGTATAGTATATTATGGAAAAGAAAACGGAAACTACTATAATGTAATACCGTGGCCGCAAACTTCGAATCAGCTAAGCTACCATCTTTGGGAAAGATGCTCAGAAACCCTAAACCCTAAACCCCAAACCCTAAACCCTAAACCCCAAGCCCTAACCCTAAACCCTAAACCCCAAACCCTAAACCCTAAACCAAAATGCTCAGAGATGCTGAGAGTCAGGCGTCCGGTGGTTGCAGCACCTCTGCCGGGCCGAGCTCTCGTGGCCTGGTCCCAGGATCTTCGGAAGGGAGTGCTATAAGAGTATATATATATATATATTAGGTGGACCCCCCACCCTGTAGTAGTGACTGTAAGGGATAATAGGGATTACATTAGGGTCCTCTTAATTATTCTTATTATACCACTATTACAGGGTGGGGGGTCCTCCTAAGGTATATATTAGGGTTATGATATGGTATATGTTGGGGTACTGTTGAGATAATGGAAAATAGAATGGAAACTAGAATTATATACTGGGGTAATACTTGGATAACGAGCGCAAGACACGTGTGCTCTGATCCTCTGAGGCCCCCCGTCACCTGTAATTGAAGAGTTGGACGATGAGGACTGGTGCCATTGCGCAAGTCTTTCACTGGTCCTCTCCGTTCTGAAGCAATTACCTAGACTTCAAGTCCCGCGACCTGTAGGAGCCAGAATTTGCCTGGGCCCAAGAATCTGATCATTTTTCAGAGAATCTGGCCATGCGGTAGAGCCGAGCAATCCAAGGTGAAATTCTGGGACTGGGACACGGATACTGCACCAACAGGGTACAGCATGCACCTTGCCTTGCACAAATCCATGGTTTTGCACTTGCAGGGCTATGCTGCCACATGCATGCAGTGCGTCTTGCTTTTTGTGATGGTGCCTTGCTTGAAAAGATGAGGCCAGAGCCAAGGAACTTACGGGACAAGCAGCAGAAGGAGGACCTTATTTTGCTGCTTGTCTCAGGTGAGGTGATCTCAAGGGCTGAAGCCTGAAATCGGGTCCTGGAAAGGAGGTGAGAAAGCCACCCTCGAAGTGTTGGGACCTTGCAAAAGCTTGCAACCAGCAGTGAGCAGTTCTGGCAAGCTAGGTTCGGAGATGTCCCATCCTCAGCCTGAGCTCTTGGAACAGGCAGGGCTGGCAGTTTCAGTGCCTCCTTAAAAGGCTGCTCAGTCTTTTGAACCGTGCAGTCCAAAGATCCGGCTGAGCTGACGTTGCTAGCGTTGTTGCAACATGCCACCGCGAAGGACCGCCAGAGATGTGTGTAAGCTGTTGAAGGAAACAACATATTTATGCGAGTCTGGTATCAGTCATGAACTAGAGCTTAAACTCAGGATATGACGGTGATCAAGGGATTGAAGCCTGACGACATCAAGAAGGCCATGAGCCTCACATTGATTCCATGATCAAATGCTTCTTCCATCCTGCTGTGGCGCAGCATGTGCTTCCCTCTGTATGAAGCAGAATGCCAAAGTATGTTGATGCTGTGGTTGCCACATTGGCTCAGGGAAGGACTCTGGCTGAAGTAACGGCAAAGCACGCGTCACCTGCCGCCACCATGGGAATCGACATCATTGCAGGTGGGCGCATCAAGAACAAGGTGCGCACGGCGAAAACCGACAACCCCTACGTTCTCCTGTTGTGCAAGCTCTACAAGTTCCTCGCTCGCCGGACCGAATCCAAGTTCAACAAGGTGATTTGCAAGAGGCTCAACATGTCCGGCCGCAACCGCCCACCCTTGTCCATGTCGAAGCTCGCAAAACAAATGGCCAACAAGGAGGGCAAGACCGCAGTTGTTGTGGGCACAGTCACGGACGACAAGCGCTTGTATGATGTCCCTACCATGTCGGTCTGCGCCCTGCGCTTCACGGAGACTGCCCGTGCCCGAATCACCAAGGCCTGAGCAGCCAAAGTGTGTTTAGAGGAACCTAGAAGAGTCTTGAACCAAAAAGTCATCAGGCGGGAGGTGAGTGCATCACTTTCGACCAGCTGGCCATGCGCTCCCCGCTGGGCAAGGCAAGCTGGTGTCATTGCACATGAGAGGCAAGAATAACATTTCAGCTCAGGGCACTGTGCTGCTGCGTGGCCCAGTGAAGGGTCGCGAGGCCAGTGCTGGTGTTTGTTTGCTGTCTCAATCCCAGCAATCGCCAAGAAGGAGCGCTTGTGTGCAATCCTGAGTCAGGCCGAGCGTCACTTCGGCAAAGCGCCAGGTGTGCCGAACAGCTGCTTGGCCAGATCTGGATGGTTTGAGGTCAGCAGCTTGTTGAGCCTGCTTCTGAGGCAAGACTGCGCCGTATGTTCGGTCCAAGGGGCGCAAGTTCGAGAAGAGCCGCGGCCGCAGGAAGTCCCGTGGCTTCAAGGCGCTTATGCTTGGGTACAGCTTTTAAGTGCCGTTTGTTCTCGTTTGTATTGCCTGCTGCGCGTGTGCCAGGTCTAAGCAGTCGAAGCAGCCGCCTCCATCACCAAGCCGTGACAGCCGAGGAAAATGAAGCACCTGCTCAGCTGTGGGTAGTGCAAGTTTCAACATGCTCCGACTCAATCAGTCTTTGCATGGTCCAGCCTCCCTGTGTCAGTGCAGGTGGTGGCCCATCGCAAAAAGCATGGGCCCATGAACCAGTTGAACATGCTGCCGGGTATTGTGGGGCCAAACACTCAGAGGATGGATCTGGTCAATGTAGGGACCATTGAGTAAAATTGATCAAAGCTTGAGCTCGGAATGCTTTTGCATCTGCGACTGGCCTTACTGCGTTGCCAAATGAGCAGAGATCAAAACCCT